TTAAAATAACTGATGATTTTGCTATTTTTCTTTTATTGGTCCAGGTACACAAAAATAAATGATTTAACAACAGTATAATTTATTTTAAAAATATTTTATATTACTAGTGATATTATAATTTATATAGTATTTATTAAAGTTAGGATCTTAGAATCGTTAGAGTAGTTTATTGATACCAAATTTTAACAACACTGAGTCTAACTAGAAGAAATTTCTTACCGGTGTGTTTGCATACTCGTGCGCATTTTTTTTGTAATTTTTGTTGTTTTTTGTGTTACTACGTTGAGTCGAGCTTCAGTTTCTTCGTATATTCCAGAAATACCGAAATTCCAGCATAGACTGTACTTTGTGAAAGTGTTTTGGACATATATGTTGATAGGCCCTCCGTAGGGAGTTTGGACCATATATCTCAGTGTAGTGTTATTTTACATTTTACACAATGCCTCGAAATATCTTCTGTGTTCCTGGGTGCCAAGTAGTAGCAGAAGATGGTGAGTAAAGTGTGTTTTTATATTCTGAAGTTTCATAACCTCAATAGTCTTTTAAACAAATATGTTTATTCTACGCTGTATGCCTATATTCCACGTGCCTAATACACCATGAACTGGTTAATCTGTTTTTAACAATTAAAAAGCAGTGAAAAACGACATTTCTATTTATTCAGTAAGTCAAAATTTCTAAAATACCATTAGTTCCTATAAGGTTTTTTAACATTTAAAAATAATAAATGCTACATGTAGGTTCTTATTCTAGAATGATGCTCAAACACAGCTTTACTTGAGAATGATTTGAGTCTATCATTTCATACAAATACGTCATTAAGATGTGCTCAAGTTGAGATCGCCGCTGAATGTCGTTCTAGAATACGGGCCGTAGTTTGTCGGCTCAGTTAACTCATAGTAAACCTTAGAGCAAGGACTAAAACATGATAAACAATCTTGACATGTCTTTTTTCTCAATTTGCATTTAAAAGTTGAGTTTCTTGCATGTTTTTCTCCATCGGAATCTACATTTTCGAACATGCACCTAAAGTCTCGACTTTCAAAAGTCAAATCAATAGGCATTGATATGGTCTAAATGAATAAATAAGATTTGACTTAGATTGAAAAAATCTCTAAACTTACTAATGAATCTAAGACAAGCCACTGACCTAACTATTACATAGAGTTCACAAGAGGGTTTATATATATTTCATTTGTAAATTCTTAGATTTTTGAAATGCAAGGTAAAGTGAAAAGACATAATTATATTATCAAGATTCTTTATCTGTAGTAAATAACCTAGACCGACAGAGAAAACGATGAAAATTAATAATTTAGTTGATTGTCCCTATGGTACAAATGTGGGTCTATACATCTGCATCTACCTACACCCCTTTAGCCGGGCTTTTGAGTTTTTGAAATTGTCTTTTGTCTTTTTGTCTAGTCTTTAGAACTCTGAACTAAGTGATCTAGAAAAATAATTATGATTAATTATTTATCAATAACTTAATTTATTTTACTATTATTAAATTACATTATTATGTATTGTAAAATAATGTAGAGTAACTTAGAATGATTAAAAATCACATTTCATTCAAGCCCATTATAGTCACTTTATTTTATTTTCAGGTGTACCTCTACATTACTTTCCATGTCCTGAGAAAGATGCAGAAAGGTTTCATAATTGGGTAAAGATTATTGGAGGTGGTATTGTGAGTCTGGACAACACCTGTAAAACTCATAGAATCTGTCCTCAGCACTTTCAGAAAGAGTTTCTTTACCCAAAAAACAGGCTTTGTAAATTGGCTGTTCCATCTTTGCTTTTACCCTCTGCAGGTGTATCAGGTAAATCAGTTTTTGATTAAGTTTATTTAATACTAGCAACTGTGTTAGTTTTTCACACAGGTTATAAATGAATGTACAATAAAACATATATTTATTGTACATTCATTTATAACCTGTGTGAAACTAATGAATTAAGTGAATTAACCAAAAACTATATAATATGTTTTTGCAATTTGTTTTAATTACAATATATTTCATTAAAGGTATGTGGGACAAATTTTTGTTAGGCAACCCGGGAGTAATGTAGGTCATAATCATTAAACATTAATTTGAATTGAGTTTCAATAAAATTTAGTACCTACATTTTCTTTATAAAAACAAAATGGCATTATAGCCCAGCGGTCAAACACTTGCATTTCATGCAGGTTATGTGAGGAACAGAATTTGATTATTGATTACTTGTCTAAAGAGAGAAGAGGGTCATTAGAGCTATTTACAATCTCAAACCGAGAGTCTCTTAGAGATAAATTTAAAGAAATAAATATATTAACTTTGGCCTCTCAGTATCTTTAAGAAAATTTAATGTATGTTCACATAAACAAAGATAGTTTTAGTAAAAAAAGTGATATACATTCTGTAAACACTAGGAACAAACACCAAGCTAGTGATGCCAATTTCTCGACTCCACAGAGTCAGTAATTCATTCTTGGGGCAATGTATACGCTATTACAACAACGTCCCGGAAAGTGTACAGGTTCTCTCTGTTACCAAGTTTAAATGTTTTATTAAACTGAAACTGTATAAAAAGAGTTATTAAAGTATAAATGAATACATGGTTGATAATAACCCCTGGGAATGAGGTGGTCGCTTCCAAGCAGTTTCTAAAATAAATTTTGTAAATAGTTTGTAATTATTTATATTGTAAAATTTATTTTAAAAAAAAGTCCCGCTGGGTTTCTTGCTGGTTCTTCCCAGGACAGAGGGTTTTTTTTTCGAACCAGTGGTAAAGTAAAAAATGACTTTCAATAAGAATTACACATGTAATGTATATTGAATAAAAAATTATTCTATTCTGTTCTATTCTTGCGTTAACAGTGCTGGAAAACATTGGGAGAAAACCTCCACACTTGAGAGGGCCTGATAAAGTTCTCAATGTGTGTGTAGTCCGCTAAACCACATCAGGGCAGCATGTGGACTAAGGCTTAATCCTTCTAATGAGGGCTAATAATCTTCCACTCACCAGATGTCGCTTGTTGTGACTGAGGTAAAGTTTTTCGTTACATAGTGTCAGTTAATTAAGAAATTAGTTTTAAATAATAGTTTGTCATTATCTAGAGTATTATATTAATATACAACAAAATGCGTCAGTGGTTTGATTTTTAATTTTTTGCACTTTATAACTCTTTTTTTAATTTATCTACTTTAAGTTATATTTATAGTTTAGTTTATTAATTTCTAATGTAATTAATAAAAAATATAACTAACAATACGGAAAGAAACCTTAAATATTACATTTTCCTAAGAAATTATCGTGCCCGCTATGAAATCTGTCAAATATTTTACCTCACTGTAAAGTGGCGCCGCCCTGGTGGCAGAAAAAGTTGTGGATGCCCTCATTCTGAGAGGCCTGTGCCTAGCAGTGGGACAGTAATGAATTATTATAATCAATATCAGTAGCCAAAAAATGATTTGTATGATGCATGTTTTATGAGACACATAATGTACACTTGGTGTGAAATGCCTCTAAACATTATCCAGTAGTTTAGGATGCCCCAATAAAAAAAGCAAATACAATAATTTAATACTTATATATATTTAACATAAAATTATAATTTCTAGAAAGTGGGTGCTTGCCAGAGGAAAGTGTGGACACTGCACATTTGATAATGCTGTTCAACAACCTGTTCGACTCAAATTAACATAAAGAAGTAGGTAAAATATACAGATCTGCTGTCACACCAAACTCATCCCATTTAAAATTATGGAACAAAACATTACCCATTTTAAGGTCAATGAAGTATATAAATAATAATAGTAAAGAGGTAACTGTACCATCTCTAACCAGTTGGGTAAACACTATAGAAGGTTTTAAATTAATAACAAATAAGTTAAGGGCAGAAATTATCAATGAACATTTAAATATTGATTTAATAAATACACAACAAATTCTAGAAAGCCGTACCAAAGAGAGAAATGCGCGACCATAGCTTATTGTAGTGGGTGGATAGCAATCAAAACAAAAAAGTTTATATTTAAAAAATGTAAAACATGTCAAAATAATTTAACATCATCAAATAATGCAGATTTCCACAATTTTATAATAAAAAAAGAATATTGTGGCAAAAGATGGTTATGCTATCCTACCTGGTCATTGTTTGACTTTTTTGCACCAGTAGAACACATAACATGGAATATTTTAAATAAATATGCACATGTAGAAAACATTGTTAAATATATCATGCTGTTTATATCAGTCCACATCGACTTAAATTTTATGAAATGTGAAAAACATTAAGAAAATTTAAAGAAATATTTGGTCCATGAAAGTGTTGTGTTCTTCATAATTACTTGGTGCAAAGAAGTCAGCAATATACTTAATAGCAAGAGCTATTATAATTTATGTAATGATAGTGGTGAAAATGTCTCCATTTTGCCTACGGGCTTGAGAACATTACAATAAAACAAAGGGTGCGAAACGAGAGGCAAAAAGGCATCGAAATTAATGTATTAATGTATAATTAATAAATTCATTGAATTATATATTTTTGTATTATTTATTTCATTACCTTTACCCGAATACCTAAAGATACTTAAACTTGTGTATCTAAAAACATCCTTAAAAATATGCTTACTTCAAAACACTGTTTAAGTATCTAAAACGACATATAAATAATATGTATAGGTACTTACGTATGAATTGCCGTTTTATTTATAGATAAAATATTCTATCTATAAATAAAACAGCAATTCATACGTAAGTACCTATACATATTGCCATATACGCAACTACCTATATATATATATTTCATTTAGTTCATTGCTTGGCGTTCAGAGGGCGCTGAACGGTAACTAAATATGAAAACTTCAGTTGCCAGTCTATCTCCAGTACTATATATTAGTCTATGGTATTAGTGTCTTGCTACATATATATTTATCTATGATTAGTGTTCTGTGTCACAAACTGATAAATATTTATTTAAAATTAGTTAAAATAAATAATATTGCGCTTTTACAATGACTGAATTCACAAAAGAATTTGTAGATAAAATTTCTCTGAGCTGTATACAACTGTATAATACACTACCAAAAATTGGCAAAGCCATTGAAGGAGAATGGACAGTGCTTTCGTGTATAATTCAGTTTGATAGAGTTACAAAAAAATATGAAGTTGTATCATTGGGTACTGGTTCAAAATGTATTGGAGCTTGTAAAATGTCACCTGAGGGCGACATAGTTCATGATAGTCATGCCGAAGTGTTTGCCAGACGAGGTTTTATGTTGTATCTTTATGATAACATAGAAAAGGCTATAGTAGTTAAACAAGATCAGGAGTCTATATTTCAAAAGGAAAAGGATCGTTTTAAGTTACGCGACAATCTTGAGTTTATCTTTTATTCATCACAATTGCCTTGTGGTGATGCTTCTATAATGCCAAAAACAAATGAAGATGATCATGGTGATGTTGTATGTTCTCTTAAACGTGAAGCCGAAGGTAACAATTGTGATGTTGAAAGTAAAAAAATAAAATTGGAGACTCAAGACATTCATAGGACTGGTGCAAAATGTTTACCTCAAAATGAGCAAGACCCTAAAGAGCCTGGCGCAAATTACCACTTATTAGGTAGAGTGCGAACTAAGCCTGGTAGAGGAGATAGGACCCTTTCAGTTTCATGCAGTGATAAAATGGCCAGATGGATTCATGTAGGAATTCAAGGAGCCCTTTTGGATATGTTATTGATGGAACCAATTTATATAAAACATTTCATATTTGGTTCTGGTGCTCCTTATTCACAGGAATCATTGACAAGAGCACTATTAAAAAGAAATCTGGAGGATAATGAAGATTTTACCATTCCATTTAAACCATTTATATATAATAGTACAGCAATTTTCCATCTAATGAAAAGTGAGAGGAGATCAAAACCTGCTCCTGGAAGTATTGTAATTGTCAATTGTGGGTATGTATACTTGTTCTTTGTCAGCCCAATTGCTGGACATGCCTCCCATAGCTCCCAGTGTAGGCAGAATATACCAGTGTAGGCAGAATATATTCACTTTGGTAGATTGAAAATTGTTGTGTTAAATTTTCTATATCATTGAAATTGCTTCTTATATCTGGTTTGGATAAAAACTAACAATATTAAAGTTAAAGTTTCAGCATATATACGTCCTACTGCTGGGCACAGGCCTTCTCTCATTTCTGAGAGAGTTTTAGGGCAAGGAAATGTCCACCACTCTGCCCCAATACATGTCGAACTTCACATGTCTTCAAATATTTTATATATATATTTTTTTTTTCTCATTTCTCAGACATGCAGATTTGCTCACAATGTTCCTTCACCGCTGAGCATGTGGTAAATCAGCACAAAATTGCAATTAACAATTTCATTGGTGCCAGTGGGGATCGAACCCGAGTTGCTCGAGTACTGTGATATTTACACAGGGAGCTTAGTCCCTGAGCAAATGTATTAACTAGCAACTATTATTAACTTTAATTAATTAAAATTAATTTAATTATAATGGTTTATTTTGCATGTGTCAGAAGTGTTTTGGAATATGCTAAGTCGATATGGTCTCCACAGTACAATGGCTACAAAAGCCGCCTTGAGCGTATTCAAAAAAAATTTGATAATCACCTTAACTTTTGCTGAAGGAATAAAATCAATACTTCCACAGAGAGTTGCACTGAGCACAATCTCTTATCTTTGGAACACAGGCGTGTTTTGCTTGACATGGCTTTGTTATATGATATAATAAACAGTAATATTGACTGTCCATATCTTGTCTTAAGAATCACCTTTTGTACTCCAAAATTCCGCACCCACAATACTACATTGTTACAGACTCCCTGGCATCATTCAAACTACTGTCGAAACACTGTTCTTTCGTGGCTCGCTCGTGCATATAATGAACAATTTGGACACATGACCTCTTTGCAAAATCTAAACTTATGTTTAAAGATTACATCAAGAAAACTATTAAGAAATAGAGCAGTTGAAGTTAAAATCACATACAATCATATATTCCCTCTTTTATTTATTCTATATGTATTTGTTGAGGCTACTAATATAAATATAAGTACTTATTTTATGTAATATAATATATTATAATTACTTATTTGTATTATGTTTATATGTTTATACATTTTATATATGTGTGTGTGTGTGTGTGTATGTACATAAGTATGTATGTGTAATATATATATATATATATATATAGGTAATGTAAAATATAATTCTAGCTGACTCTCCCTCCTGATCTGTAAACTTATGACCACCTTCATTACATTGAATTGCTTATAATTTTGCTTATAATTTATCTATTAGATTGTTCTTCTTTCCTTTTCTTCCAACAACAATACACCTACCAACAAGCAATATAAGGGAAACCTGTTATTGGCCATACTTTTAGTTTGTTACATTAATGTTAATATTTACTATATATGCTGTTGGTTTTCTAAATAAATTAAATTAAAATAAAATTATGTTTGAATTTAAGATTATTTTGAATAAAACATATTTGTTTTAATACAAAATATTATTTCTCATATTATTTCTCCCTTGGGTTTTATATAATCTCTTCTGTAATGTGGGGGTAGTTTATACATATATAAATTACACAAGGGCACTGTAGGCTGTACAACTTGTTCCATAGCAGATACATACTGGGGCTTGGAGCATCGCTACTGAATGCATTACTGAGCCGTCAATTTGTTGAACAGAACTGAAAAATTATTTAAAAGCCATAGACAAATATTTGTTCATTATTACTACTAAGGACTAATGACTTGAGTAGTTATGAATCAATTAATAGGTGTATAGTGTCTTAGACGAGGTTATATAAAAAATGTTATAATTGTTTTATTTTCTTTCAGAATTATAGAGGTTGGAGTTCATGGTAAAAGATTAGGAGTAACAAAGAGGAGAGCACATATAAAAAACTCATTATGCATATCAAAATATAACATGTACAGAAGATTTGTAGAGTTATTACAAAAAGATCAGAATTTAAAAGAAAGGCTGGTAGGCGAGGATGATGTTACAACCATACCATATAATGAAATGAAAAAGAAATCTCAAAGATATTATGAGAATTGGTACAGAGTGCGAGATTCCTTTTTTAAATCATGGACAATTAAACCAGATATGTGGAATTTTTGTATTAAACCTAATACCTAATTAATTAGATCATATTGATGTAATAAATTATGGAGTTAAAAACTATTAATGTAAAAATAAATTTGCTAATGTGATGTTAGAATTATTGTAGCTTGGGTATATAGTTTGTGTGCTTGTGCTACAGATATTAAAGTTTATAATTAGTTAAACATCACTCAAAATTCGAACACAGGCTATAGTTTTTTTATTGTTTTTTTAATTATGTACCCACCTCCTTTAAAATACCAACAGCGCAGTTACAAAATTGCAGTGCAATATTGAATCTCGTTTCTTTTTATGATATATTAAAATAAAATTATTGTTGTACTGAAAACTTGCACAACTTAAGTAGTAGAACTGCTCGAAGAAGCTACAAGCTTGAATTATAAGGCATTGTATAATTATTACAGTTCATTTGAAGTATGTAGATTTTATGTTCCGCTTATATATTGGTGTTAAATGTTCAAATATACAAGATTATGTGCTCGTTTCGTTATTTAATAGTACATTACACTATAAAGTAGGTACTAATGTGATCTCATGTAGTGAGTAAGGACTTTAATGTGAATCCTGTATTATTAAAGGTTGAATATATGTTCGTTTCATTATTTAATTGTACATTACACTATAAAGTAGGTACTAATGTGAACTCTTGTAGTGAGTAAGGACTTGAATGTGAATCCTGTATTATTAAACGTCATTTTCATTAAAAATGAAGTGCATGTTTATTTAACATAAGTAATTAAATTATTTCAATCCTATATCATAATGACTATTTAGTAAATGGTGACTATTTAATATTTCAAGTTCAAAGAAATAGAAAACTATCTATTTCTTTAAATGTTCATATTAATAAAAAAAATATGAAGCATTTGTATATAGCATTTTTATTGTACTTTATGTTATATTCTCTACCCTTTTTCTATTATAAATCTTGTGCTAAAATATTATATTACATTATAATATATTATTGTTTTATGGGTGTCTCTTTGCTTGGGCTTTTCAAAACAACTGCCGAATATCATGCAGCAGCACACCTTTAGCCTGGGAAAATCCACAGAATCGGCACCACTTAAGGTGGTAAATTAAATTGAAGTAGCCTACAGTAACAAAAGAGTTCTGTCTCAGCACAGCGTCAGGGCGCGTCTGTAGCTGGCGCTGGATGCGACAGAGCCGAGCTCTAGGGACTGCAAGACCACCTGGCATCTATCATCGCCACCAGAGGGCTTGGTGTGGGTTGGGTCTCAGGTTTTAGGTAGCACTGGAGGTAAAATACGTAGGCAGTTTTTTGAACAGTAATTTAAATTAGGCTAGTTACATAGATCTTAGAATTAACAAGGCAAGTATCACGTCTGACAATGCCAGAGGATAATTGTTAGACGCTGCGGGTGTGTCTTCGAAAAGTCCTATGGCTGTACAGAACGGTAAGCAGGCTTATGACCTTATACGGTGCACTAGTCTGGTGGAAGGAAATCAGCCTAATCACCACAAAAAACAAATGATTCCAGAGCATGATGGCCGCCACAAGAAGAAATGCTGTCAACTAATAGACTAAAAAGGTGGAATAACAACAGGGTCCCTCATGCTGGGTTTTTAGATAAACCGTATGAATATTTACCCGTTCTGCAAGCAAAGAACGACAAGATACCAAAATAATTCATATTTGAAACAATAGTACCTTCAGCTATAATACCAGTGATTCCTAACCAGTGGTCCGCAAGAGCTTAAAGATGGTCCGCGAAAGATTTAAATATTTTACCTACCTAACTCACCACACGGAACAACGTTTTAAATAACACATTTAGTTTATCGTCACACGGGCAGTGCAACACCGCGCGTCACGTTAGTGAGTACATAATATAAGGCAATTTGAACTGAACTCCTAAACGGGTGGACCGATTTAAATTTTTTTTTGTGTGGGTCCCTGGACGGCTTGGAATCATCACAATATGACCCAGTGTGTGGCACTGTTGTCGAGCTCCATAAATCATCCGTGTGAAGCCGTGGCGTATCGGGGCGGAGTTCTGTTTCAGAACTGACTCTTTTACTACACTAGTAATAGAGACAGTTGTCAGATTCTTTCGTTTTTATCGGGTATTGAATACAGTAATACATAGTAACCAATTCGCTGGTGGGCACAGCAAATGTTAGGTTGAATCATGTGCAGTTTCTTACGGTATAAGTAAAACTTAAAATTTTATTGATTTTTCTTTATAATCCGTCTGTAATTCATGGGAACAGAATGGAGCCATGAACAATATTTAATTCCGAGTGTTATATTTATAACTAAATCTAGATCGTTAAAATTATGACCGTCACAAGTCCACCCCTGAACGTAGGCCCTTTCCATAAATCACCGTAATAGCCATTGCATTTGGTATAATATGCTATCTGGTCAGTATTGCATCAAGTGTAGGGTTGCACTACACTGGTACGAGGTTTTGTGTTTGAGAGACTATCAGATCACGTTGGGCTATGACAGGAAGAACATGGCAACCGTCTTTTTGCCTTTGGTTTATCCTATCACACAGAAAAACCCGCGCTTAGCATTCTATGCATCCACTCTATATAGCAACATGTAATAAAAAATTACATCATGGATTCGAAAGATGACATGTAGAAAATATAATGTCACATAAGTGCAGGGTGTAGGCTATCAGACCTTTGCCTCAAGGGCTCGCTTTAGAAATTTGGTTAGTGATGTTTCCCTATTTGATTTCACCCATACAGATAGACGATAGATTTCTTTCAAATAATTTAGAAAGCTATTATCTTTAAAAATGATATACGTCAAGAGATGATAACCAGTCAAGCAGTTTTATATTGAAAAAATATAATTATACAGACAACAGCGCTATCTACCGGGTCCAATTGTAAATCTAAGCCAGTCTCGAATCTACTTAATCACACACAAAATTTCATCAAAATCGGTCCAGCCATTTAGAAGAAGTTCAGTCACATTCACACAGTTAGAAGAATTTTATATACCAAAATGCATGTAAACCTTCCTCTTGAATCATTCTGCCTATTGATGAAAACCCCATCAAAAAATTGCGTAGTTTAAAAGATCTAAGCGTACAGACGGCGAGAAGCGACTTCCTTTTATATTAGTTCACCTGATGATAAGTGGATTATTATTATTATTATTATAGGAGAAGGGCCAAACGAGCATGCGGCTCACCTGATGGTAAGTGACTACTATAACTATGCTGTGGCCCATAGACATCTACATCAATCCTCAATAGAGAATCAAAATTAAGAGTGCGTTGTCACACCTGAGGACTAAGATGGATTGCATCGTTTCTACTAAAAGGGTATCCGGTTCTTCATACTCACCATACAAAATAGCAACATTGAGCTGCTATTTTACGCTGGTATTCTGTGAGAGCGTGTTCCTTCTCCGGTGAAGCCGACCCGTCATGTTAGAAATGTAATATAGATGCAAGATGGTAGCTATACTATAGTGATTACAGCGATGGTAGATAGTAAAGCACGTACCACGTGTTAATATTTTTAGTTTTAGGAAAAATATTTATTCCTATAAATAACTTTCTTAGGATGCTTTTATACAAACGTTGCCGACAGTGTTATTTTGAATTTAAGTTATGGTATCTATTTCGCAATATAACTGTGAAACCGAATTCCTATTACGATGTTGAAACGCTATGAATTATAAGTGAAATCAAACGTTCGCCATTCTTAGAGTATATTAGTTTTATTATGATGATATCACTGCTTTCTAAAAACGGCCAAGTTCATAACAAATCTTTTTGTGTACCTAAATATTTTAAAACAGTTGTATGTTTTATGTACAATTTATAATTATATTTATAAATAAATATTATCAAATATGTCGCATAATATTAAATACATTTTGTAGTCGGCCTAATTAAGCACCTGAAAAGGATTTGTTTACCAAAAGTCAACTGTCAAACTGGATGTCATTAATATAATAAGGCTTTTTAAAATCAATGGTGACCTAAGTATGGCAACCATTGATGTAAAAAAAAAACCTGAGCAACTATACGCCACCCGGCTTCGATGTTATCCAAAATACCGGAAAGGATCACAATTACAGCGGATAACGAATCTGACGTAAGAGGATGAGTATAACGTATGGGCATTAAAGGTTACCGTAAGTAAAACAAATGATACGATGCACACTAACCGCCTACGATTGAGCAATGAGGACGAGAATATTTATGTATTTGTAACCAATAAATGTTGGGTACTGATAATGGGCAGTTTATTTATTATATGAGTTCCTTTTCGAATTCAATAAAATGGAACCCGTATGAAATTTGTTCGGTGTAGGTAGACCAGTAGGTCCTGTGTAAACAGGTTGTCCCCAAGAATGTTCCTATTTAAATATTGCATAGTTATAAAATGTGTTTTTCCCCAAATTCGGCGAATGTGGACTACGATTCAGTCGAAAATCGGGCGATGCTACGATCCCTTCAGGTGTACCAAATTCTTGTAAATTAAGGAAACGATATCTATCCGAGTACAGGACGAGAGTACGAAACTAATACAATGATGGGCGTCCACGAATTTTTTTACCACCAGGGCGGCGATACTTAAAATTGAGGTGTAATATTTGACGGATTTCATAGTATGCAAGTTAATTTGTTCGAAAAATGAAAAGGTTAATGTGTCTTTCCATTTTATTACTTATAATTTATATTAATTATATTAAAAAAAAATAAACCACACCACAGATATTCATAAAAGTAGAAAAATTTTGAAAAATGTTAAAAAAATGCAAAAATATTAAAGAGCAAACCACTGAGGAATTGTTTTGTGTATTAATATAATACTCAAGAAACCGATAAACTTTTATTTAAAACTAACTTCTCAATTAAATGACGTTGTGTAACAATAAACTTGACCTCAGTGTCAACTAGCGACATCTGCTGAGCGGAAAACTATTAGCCCTCATTGCAGAGTGGTGGAATACAGTTGACATTATATCCCCGAAACTTCACCGCTGCATTGGAAGACGTTTTTAAGTTACAAGACTG